GAATAAAACATCGTTCAATGCTATACGATAGTTATGATCCATACGGCAGGAACCTTCTGTTTGATGTGTTATTACGCTAGATCTATCTGCGAGATCCTTCCCACAACGTCCACACTAAATGATATGGTTTAAACATATTTTATAATAAACAACTTACAAAACATTGTTCATTTACGTATTTTTTCTTTTCCAGAGCTTCAATAACTTTCTGTTTCACTTCATTCAGAATATCAAGATGTTTCTTGAAGACATCAATACAATACCAGTTAACACAAGCCTCGCTAGATCCGAATCCTGGATGACTAAGAAGATTGGGGAAATCTCCACGTAAGGAATGTACAGCGAACTCCAGAATAACTGGATATATTTCATAGGGATAGCCACGAGTGTCTTTGGTATCACTGTCTTTGGTATATGTAACAACTTCCAACATCTTACAATCGGCCATATTTTCAATAATTGATTCTTCCTCTCTTTTTTCTTTTTTTATTTGCCTATTTGTTTTCTCATTTTTTTGATTCGTTCCATTCTTTCGTTCTTCCTTACTCTTTTCCTTACTTTGGTTTCCATCTCTGTATTCTTTTATTCGCTCTGCTAAGTTCAAAGAATACACACTTCCACAGCATTTCACTGATTTGAACATTTCTCTCATGGTATCTTCCTCTCTGGCTTTTTCAACTTCTTCTACTGATTTGAAACTTTCTGATTTGAGCATTTCTTCTCTTTTTTTCTTTTCTTCATCTTCGGCTTCATCAAGTTCTTTCGCATTAACGATGATGTATAACGAAGAACTATTTGAGTACCCTCCAATATTCAAATTTTTACGAGAAGCTCTAAATAATTTCTGAAATATTAAATTATTCTCATTGTTTTCAATCGGTTTCACTTACTTTGATCTTCCGCGTTTCCTCCTTGGACAGCTCTGCTCCTTGTTGTGCTTCACCTGAGCTGAATCCATGTTCCCCCGATTCATCTGAGCTATTTACATGTTCCTCTAACTCAGTTGATTCGTCTTCAACAGTCTGGGATGGTTTATTGGCTGGCACTTCATTTGGAATCTGAATTATGAAATTGTTCTCAAAAACCACTCTGTTTAATTGGATTCGATTACTTCAAACTGTTGCCTTTCCTCCTCGGACAGCTCTCCTCCTTGTTGTGGTTCACCTGAGCTGGATCTATGTTCTTCTAACTCAGTTGATTCGTCTCTAACATGCTCGAATGGTTCATTGGCTGGCACTTCATTTGGAATCTGAATTATGGAATAGTTGTCAAGAAACCATTCTATTCAATCGCATTCACTTACTTTGATCTTCCGCGTTTCCTCCTTGGACAGTTCTGCTCCTTGTTGTGGTTTAACTGAGCTACTTCCATGTTCCATCCTACTTAGTTTTCGGTTCAGTTGATCCGAACGCGTTCGATATGATTATGACAGGCAGGGAAATTGATAATCTTTCAATGTGTTAAAGCAAACATGATAAAGAAAGAATTGAAATGTTATCAAATCAAAAGCTATAGTTTCCATGTTAAGCTCATTAAACATGTTTCACTTCAAGAAAGAAAGGGAATAAATGAAGGAATGGAAAGAGTTATCATGAAAACACTCAAAAACGGAACACTTCAAGCAATGCAAGCGAATCAACAGATTGAGAAGTTGATGTGGAATATCTGTAAGCATGATCCGCATCATGACTTCTCTAACTCACATATTTAAGAACTGAAGAAACATTCAAGTTGAGAAGAGTTTTGATGCTAATGGAAGATTTATATTTGAATTTCATTGATTATCAAGTTATTATATCATTTGAAGATAAATCAAATAAGGATGTGAATTGAATAGTATTATCATCAAGAAATCTGATAACACTGGCTCACAGTCAGCAGCGTTCGAACCTAAGCGAGGAAGTGAATAATAAAAAATATAAAAAAATTATTATAAAATATAATAATAATAAATATTTATTTGAAACTTATATTGTTAGAGCAGAACAATTACTTATTCTGTCTAATATACATAAATCTATGGAATAGTTATATTGATTAGTTAAAATACTGAATAACTTCATCAACATTACCAGTCGTATATTTTCTCTCAAATTAGTTCCTCAGAGGTCTTCCTCGGAGAATTCATATGATTACTTGTGATTACAATTCTCCAAATAGTCAAAACACCTTTGAAAGCTGTAGTTTTCATCTTAATTTTCTATTTTTAATTCAATTATCGTATTGAAAAAATAATACTTTTGTTATAGATTAGATAGTTTTCCGTTAGTGATTCCCTTTCTTTCTTCGAGAGTTACATGCTTCATGAGCTTTCCAATCGTTATCAGTTTCATTGTTTGCTTTAACACGTTTAGAAGCTATCAATTTCACTGTCTGTCATAATCATTCCCAACGCGTCATGGAAGGGGCCGGGAAAAACTGAGAAAGAACCCACTCCATGACTCCGAACCCCAAAGATTATCAACGTTCGAAAAATTCGATTAAATAGAATGGTTTCTTGACAACTATTCCATAATTCAGAATTCAAATGAAGTGCCAGCCAATGAACCATTCGAGCATGTTAGAGACGAATCAACTGAGTTAGAGGAAGGAACATGGATCCAGCTCAGGTGAACCACAACAAGGAGAAGAGCTGTCCGAGGAGGAAAGGCAGCAGTTTGAAGTAAGTGAATTCGATTGAATAGAATGAGAATAGTTTAATATTTCAGAAAATGTTAGACAACAATTTATTGACTGCACTTGGCGAAAACAAATTACAATCAAGAAAGAATAAGATACTATTTAAGCCTATTTTATACAATTTAAAACAGAACAGACAATATAACGATCAGAAACCCAAGAAGTGGATGGAAAAGATAGTTCTTAATGGATGAACAAGATGACACGGCTCCATACGGTTCACAAGATCTTCAATAGAACTAGTAAAATAATAAGGTGGGAATCATGAAATGCGTCTGTTCGCTGAGCTCCCCCTGTCTGAACTTATTTAAAACTATTGCGAAGAATCCTAAAAGGCGCAATCTGTAACAGTGGGTTTCAGTGGATTTCTATGTGTCTTTGTGATTTGGTTATCACTTATGACTTGGTTATCACTCGATATCTTCGATTTATGAGGTGGAATATGTTGAGAAAGAGAACACGTTTAAAGCAACTACAATTCATTCAAAACGAATACAAAATATATAATCAAGGAAAGCAAGAAAGAAATTAAGCGGAACAGATCGAAAGTAATTCAATGCGTTCGAAAATAAGACTTAAGACACTTAAGCACAGTTTTTATACTATCTAAGATGACAGGTGGTGTTTTGACGTGAAGAAAGATAAAGAAAAAAATGAATCCAACATCAAAGCAGCATTACGTGTGATTAATTGTTGAGAATATTCTTGCTTTGGAATATCCAAATTACAATCAGTACTTTATTCAAATCATAAGTAATCTTCGTACACAATACCAACAATTTAAATAGACATATTATGCACTTATACGGTAATTAATAAATTTCACAAAGACTGAGTAATCACAATTGAAAAGAAAATCACCAAGATTAATGGAATGTGCTTCCTTGGTAATTACAACTTCTGGATCGCCTCCGGAAATAAAAGCTCTTTCGAATTCGATCCAAAGGCTTTTGCCATCAAAAGCAACTCCCTCGCAGACGTCTCAACATCGCTGATTATCTGGGCGTAGTCCCTCGCGCAGTAATTGGAAGATTCATAGACGTCTCGGTGCATCCTGAGTTTGTTTATATAATAGATTAGAGAAATAAAAAGTATCGAATCTTTTTCAAAAAAAATTAAATAAAAAGGAAATTATATATAATTGATTATGCATTAAAGTGTATAAACTTGAACAACTTACTTTTCTGCTTTTGTCCAGCTGTCATGCAAGTGCCAAAACAAATTGTCAGATAGAGATGCATGTTTTAATGCAAACCGGACAAAGAATTTCAGGGAGTTGTGCGATTTCAAGTTTACACCTTAAACAGTCAGATTAATACTTTGAAAAATGATGCGACTTTAGATCCATACCTCCAGAAGTCAGATATAATTTTTTGACTGCGTAAACGGCAGCAAACCATAATTTTTCGGCGGACTGAACTAGGTCTGGGGAGGTTTGTGAGAAGTAGTAACGGGCTTTAGTTATGAACATCGACGCGTTATAATTTTCCATTTCTTCCTGAAAACAAAACAGATAATTTCAAAAAGTTGTTTGTTAAATTATAGTTTTATTTTCAGAAAGCTCATTAGAATTTATTTAAAAAAGCTAAAGTAAACAATACCTTGGACTCCCAACTCTCCAAATTGTCGACAGTTGCTTTCTCCTTGAACTTTTCGCGGATCTCGTCAATATTGCCCTCCTGTATATCCTCTACGAGAAAACGCCTATGAATCAGATACTTCTCTGGCATTTTTCTGAAATCCAAATTTTAGTTTTTCAAGATGACGTTCTGTATGGAGGGCGACTACTCCTTTACGTCTGCACGATCGGAACGTTAGTTGGATTGACGAGATAGTTTATTATGTGTAACCAGAAGAAAGATTCAACGAAGTACTAAAGGTGAGTAATTGACTTTTGTCAAGATTGTGTGTCTTAGAAATTTAAATTTAAGAATTTATTTATTCTAGAGTTCGCTGTACATTCCTTACGTGAAGATTCTACCATTCGTGATAGTCATCCAGGAGGTTGGCTTGTCTTAACTGGCATTGTATTGGTGCCCTCATCAATGAATATTCTATTCTGAATGAAGTGAAACAGAAAGTTCTTGATGCTTTAAATAATGAAAATGAAGATTACGTGGAACAAAAAGATTCAAAACTTGAAAACTTCACTGTAAGTTGTTTATCATAAAATATGTACAAACGTTGCGGGAAGAAACTCGCAGATAGATCTAGCGTAATAACACATCAAACAGAAGGTTCCTGCCGTATGGATC